TGACATAAACTAAGCGGTGTTTGATTAGACAATAGCCCGTGTTCGATCACAGACAATAGCTGTTTGATTAGACAATAGCTGTGTTCGATCACATAAACTAAGCGGTGTTTGATTACAGAATTATTATCCTATCAATCAACACGACTCAGTAATCATTTACATATTATGATTTAATCATTCAGGTAGATCAAGTAATATTATTAATTAATTATTTATGCATCAATCAGTAGGTACCATACACAAACACGACCAGCAACTGGGAAATGTGCGTGCGTGCGTGCGTGCGTGCGTGCGTGCGTGCGTGCGCCCCTCGAATGTTTCTACGCTACAAGTTAGAAAAGTCAAATGTTTACGCTTACCAAACTCAGAATCCTCTCGCTTGTCGAAGAAGAGTTTATTACCGACCCGCTGAAATAAGGGCAAGCGTTCATGATGGCCACCGATCATGTGAACAGTTACAATCGCACTTAACTGGTGCGACAGCGCACAGAAAAACAAAATCTAATCGCCACAATGTCTGCTACAAAACATTAACTGTTTGATTTTTACGACAAATACGGATAATTTCAACAAATATTTTTTCGAAGCAAAGAAAAGAAGTCCAAGCTCCGGTGACCTCCCCCTCCCCCATCTCGGGTGACACCAGCAGCACCACCTGTCACACACACACCTGTACGACGATGTCCCAGGAGTAGACCGAGCGAGCGCACGTCATCAGAGTAGCGACGATCGCATCCGTAGCGAACACGTTGCCTTCCGTCTTCGCCAGCTGTGAAGAAAGGAGAGACGCATCACGTCATTTCGAACCCCAGAGAACACGCCGCATTAAAAAACCATGGCCAATTCTACATCAGACACGTCCACACGGACACGACTCTGTACACAAACGACTCGGCGTAAACAAAAACAGGTCGCAAACGACAACGCCACACCCGCAGCACGATAATCGCACGGCGCGGCGATCGTGCAAGCGCGAGAGAGTTCCCTTGACCGCTGGCTACCGAAACGGGTCACAAAAACCGACGGCAACACCGCGCCCCGCTTTGCGATGTGGGGACGAGTGCACGGGGGTGCTTTGCCGGGGCCAGCTACCGAACCAGGTCACAGGTCGCAAAAGTCAACGAATTATATAGCCTCAGATTTAGGCAGACAGTTAACCAGTTTTTGTTTTAATAGATTGATGAATAAATATGGCCTTATCATCCTGATGTGCCACATACTATAATAATGATGGCCATTGGGGTGTGATATTATATAAATACTGCGCGTACGTAGAACAATGCGGTGCAGCTTCGTGATTTTAATGTTATATAAATAATCGGGTTATTTTAAACTAGTATTATAATTTTTATTTTTATTTTTATTTCGTTCCCACCCACTGTGCGGGTCGATCGTTCCGTGCAAGTCTGTCATTGGAGCACAAGCTATGGTTGCATGCCGCGCATTATCTGCTATATTACCCATCAATCAAACGAACAAGCGAACAAAGTCATTGATCATGCATTCATGATCGTGACAACGTGATCGTGCATCAATTACCTTCCTCTAGATCGTTTACGACACGGGCGATACTTCTACATCATTTACAACGAAATATAAGGGGGAGCGATTAAGGTTTGACAAACAATTTTACCGTGTTGTTGGGAAGATGTTCGGTGATTGTTGACGTAGAATGAATCGGACGTCGTAGAATGGTGTGCCTAATTGATGTGATTGTAATGTCACATTCAGGTGATAGCTGAAGTAGACTCCTGTGATTACGAATCGCTCATTTTTAGAATAGAGGCATACACTCGTAACGATCGTTAGTTGGATTATTGAGTGTCGTGCATGCACAATGATTGGTAACAATTTTGTTTAAAAAATGGTAAAAATTAATAGAACTAGGTGTAATTAAATCATGTATAGTGATGGAGCTCCACTCGCCTTAACCCTATTCACGGTAGGTGAGGCAGCTTGCTGGTGTATGTAGCTTAGCATGGGTGTGGAGTCTGTCTTGTTACCAACATACATAGTATATAGTATATATATATGTATATATGTATATATATACATATATAGTATATATATATATATATGTGTATATAGTATATATATATATATATAGTATATATATATATGTATAGTATTCCTCGGTTCCTTCGTTGGAACCTATGGTGATTTGCAACCTGATCTCGTACTGTGTTATTCTTCTACCCATCATTTTCGTTTGCGTACTTTTACGTGAATCTATAGTGAACCTAGTAACCCACTACCCCTCCGTAGGATCACCATTCCTTCATAAATTTAAGCATTTGAATGTACATGCAGATACGTGTACCACTTTGACCATGGTCGTGTTAAATACTGTGATATACCTCTGCAGAGATGCATGGTTTTGTGTACATGTCATATCTGTGTATCACTTTCACAAAAATAAACAAAAGCATAGCTTTCTTTGGATTTGCACAATTCCGTTGGGCAAAGAAGTCTGTAGTATTGTCATAATTATGTTTGCCTTTAAATCATCAGAACTTTGTAAAGAGTAAGGTGCAGATTTGTTTATACATGGTACTCGAACAAGATGAACTCATATAACAGCACACACCAACAATTCATGTACAGGCTGATAATTTCAAGTTTTATTCTCGTTCCTAATTCTCATACAATCTCTTTTTGAACAAATACTTTTTGCATACTCAAACCCCACAACAATGCGCCTAAATGTTGCTCAATAACATTTCACACAGACCACCTCTGTAAATGTTATGTGTATATATTTGTCGTATACGATTTGATGTATAATAATATTACAAATTTATACGACAGGCAGCCTTTCCCTAATCATGCAAACAAAAATATCCATACGCCTATTAATTATTTAGCTGAAACACTTGCATTGTAGCAAACCACAACGTTAATCAAGATGGAAAGTAGCAGAAATAACATTTATAAAATATATAAATATGCATTATCTCATAATTGATAACAACAACACATGCAACAAGAGATTTCCCATTTAGCATAAACCCTGCTGGTTACAATCCTAGACTGTAGTCTGGTATTATGGTTTCCCATGCACACTTCATCAATTCGCTAACATTCCGCCATTATTAACCTCACCCATTGAAGTCCAGAACTGGCACTAACAAACTCAACCAATATATACCCTCATGTTGCACGTATTATTGTTAATATTACTGGATGCAAGATTGTGATCAGACTTAACAAAGGGTCTTCATACGTAAGCAGAGATAAAATTCCGAATGATAAAAACCCTATAGTTTCCACAGCATAGAACACCGACGCCTGTTTTTTGTTGTTGTCAGTAAATCATACTTCCTGTGCTAGATGAACGAAGATCTAGTACATCTGTCCAGCCGGGGGCACGCGACGCTTCGCCCACTAATCTTCCACGGATCACTCGTCTTCATCCGCATCTGAAATGCACAAAATATTCTTGTCATCTGCTTGTTGTAAGCTACCTAGCCAACAACATGCCCCAGTAACGACACGGGTTATATATTTTTAGCTCTTGTACGTACGTATTTTTTTCATTTAGCTCATTATTCTTACTTTGTCTTTCGAGCAAAGAGCTGCCATCATGGAGACAATATGTAACGCTGTACTAATTGTTTCACGCTGAATAGCATTGTGTGATGTAACCAAAATTTGATGAACCCATATATGTGAAAGTTCACATTATGAATTGTAAATAGATAGATTAAGATAAAATATAAAATAATATAAAATAAGAAATAGCTTATAAATTAGATTATTATTATTATTATTAATAGATTCTCGTACTACGCTACCCGTGTGAATACGTGTGCACGTAACTATGGCTGAGAGGGTCTATGTCCCCCGGTGGACTGCCGGAATGTACCCTGGGTACAGTCCGGTATACCGGAACGTACCCTGGTACTATCTAATATGCCGGACCGTACCTCGCCTACTCCACTACCTAGGGAGTCTAGGGAGTCGCATACGCCTACTCCCTAACCCTAACCCTAACACCAACCCTAACCCTAACCATATCAAATAGTGACCAGGGTACGTTCCGGCAGTACCCTGGGGGACATAGACCCTATGAGCGTAACTATGTGTATGTTATCGATCGCATTCTGTACTCACCGTTATCATCATCGTCATCATCATCGTCATCGTCCTCATCCGAATCAAACGTGTTGTCAGGGATGTCGTAGATACGGATGACAGGCTGCAAAAAACACACACAGGCATGTCAAAATTGCAGTACGTTACGACACACACACGCATAAGGCATCAGTTTATTTTACTAATTACTAATCAATTACTAACTAATGATAATGATTAATTAGGTACTTTCCCCCCACCCCCCACGCCCGGTACCTTGTTTGGATCCTTGAGATGAGGTACTTTAGTAGTACAGCATTAGCAGCAGCACTGTTACAGCATATCACCCCACCACCACAACCACCACCACCAGCAGCAGCAGCACCAGCA